ATTGAGCCTGTTCATGGACGGTACTGGAAAGTGCAAGTAAGTCAACTGATAAAGTCTAAATGGAAATGAAATTTGGACAATTTATAACCAGTGTAATATGTCTCCTAGTTTGTAAACACAAATAAACCATGTATAAAGGATCAGTTTGTTATATCACGTGCTATTACGAAGTCAGAAGTCATTTTTGATTTTGGAAGATAGTGCAATATACAGATACAAAAAGATGTACCGATTCCAGAAACTGCTCCTAGCTCTTTATCGTGCCAAGCTTTTAGGCACTCATATACAGGACCGAATATTTCTGTTCTTATCCCACCAAAAACTGTTTACTTATTTTAGTTGGCCATTTACCGTTGTACTTTGTAACGCTATGTAAATAAAAGCCTCCTGATAGTTTATGAGAATCTGTGTTAATAATTTTCATAATGATAATGTTCACATTCCATAATGATATATCGACTTCAGATCTTGACATAACGTAAGTCAATGTTTCAGACTTTATTCTTTCATGGTATAATTGTTATCAATTTCAAAAATTTAAGGTCAACGGTTAAAGGTCATTAACAGATATATCATGTTAAAATTGAAAATTGACCTGGGAAATTTAAACTTTTAATGTAGATATATCTTGAAAAATTAAGTGCCATAAATCCGCCATAGATCCACTCGTTTTGGGTCAAATGGTTTCAGATAAGTCACTACAACCTTTGTTAGGATTTTCATTAAGAATGTTGACGTAGATAACGAAATAAAAACTTGAAACGCTCTTTTTATAGTCCAAATCTCAAAGGTCCGATTGGCCTTTAATTCAAATTAATCTCTTATTCAGAAAATGCACAATTAACATACATGTACCATGAAACGATAGCATAAACTAAACAAGATAGCAATGCTCAATAAAAATCTATCATGAACATCGGCAAAAAATGGTATTCAAGAAAGAATTGATTGACTTAATATTCTTCATTTCTATAAAAAGCTTCATGTTATAACATTTTATATGGACATCTTCAGTTATAAAAAGATTAAGTTTTATCATTTCTTTTCATAATTACAAGGGAAATGGTGGCCAAGTGAAATGGTGGTCATAAGGTTAAGATAAATGCCTTGTAATTTGTTTGAGCAAGAAACGGCCATGTTTCCTCATATTACACCTATAACATGAACTTGTCCGAAGTCAACTTTGAAAATCTATTATTTGGTTTCAGTTATGATTCAAAATTAGTTGGTTTAATTTCACAGCCACAAGGTAAAAGACAAGAAACTGATTAACACTATATATAACATGCGCTACTTTATTTAGCCTATTTCATAGACAACATTTTTTTTCCTGAGAGAACAGAATTTATTTGCATACAGATGATACCTAAAGCTTTCATTTCATTTCAATATTTTGGTCAAAGAATAATGGAGGTGTATGCATATATTGTTCAAACTCTGAAAACAGGAAAAAAGGCAAAACTATTGTTCATATCCTTTGTAAAATTGCACCCACGTGTAGCATTATTTTCGGAATGATAATACGTTTTTAGTCCAATGATTCCGCACAATTGTTCAAATTCTACTAAAAAGCGTCACCAAACCACTTCATTTTGCCAATTCTGTTAAAACTGCTAGACGTAAAAAAATTTATAGGAAAACATGAGTTTTTTAATTAATCCACTAAAAGGTAGGATGGAGAAAAAATACAGGTAACTTTTATAAGTTTTATGTATAAGACTTTCTATGATATTCAACAGGGTAGATTTTATCAATTTTTATATCAATCAGAATCAAAACATCCAAGATAAGAATGCATATTCTATGAGCTAGAATAATCACAAGTATAAACGTACCTTGTAATGTGCAACTTTACACATGTCATTTTCACATGTCATTAGATACTGTGAAACAGTTTATGAAAATACGGGCAAAAATCTTTTTGGGTCTGTTAAAAATTCAACTGAAATTTAAGATAAGTTTAAAGTTAAGAATTATCAAGCTTCATCTGTAAGTACTTACGATTTCTCTACCTTATGCAAGAAAAAATGTGACGTTTCTGGCTTGCAATTCAAAGAAGGCTTTCTTTCTTTACCAATGGTATCATTAAACAATATACAATGTGAACCTGTGACGAAGTTTGTAAAGCACTTTCGTTTTTTTAGATAACATTTATGTCAGGTTTGGTAATACAGTTTTCAAACAGATAATAGGCATTCCAATAGGTACTAATTGTGCACCCCTGATAGCTGATTTATTTCTTTACTGCTATGAGAGGGATTTTATGTTAAGTCTTTCCCATACTTCACATCAGGAAATTATACATGCATTTAACAATACTTCCCGCTACATAGATGATATCCTTAATATGAATAATCCTTATTTCGATCAGATGGTTTCTAAAATATATTCCAGTGAACTTCAATTAAATAAAACTAACTTTTCAGACGTTATTACATCTTTTTTAGATTTAAACATTTCCATCATTAACAATACTATAGTAACTAAAATCTACGATAAAAGAGATGATTTTGATTTTAATATTGTCACTAATAACTATCCACATTTAGATGGAGATGTACCTCATGCTACATCATATGGGGTGTATATTTCTCAATTAATTAGATTTGCTAGGGCGTGCAGTCGCGTTGATGATTTTAATGAACGCAATTTATTTATTATTAACAAACTTCTTAAACAAGGTTATCGCTATCATTAATTGCGTAAATATTTTACTAAGTTTTACCATCGTAATTTAGATTTAGTTTTAAAATTTAATTGTAATTTGAAAACTCTTTTACGACAAGGTATTAGCAGGCCTGATTTTTATGGAGATGTGGTTTACAAACTTCGTAAGATCATGGGTCATAGTAATTTTTCTGCCGTTTTCACTAAAATTATCAAACGGTTTATTAAAAGAGGTTATGACCCAATTATTTTAAGGCATACCGCATGCTTGGTGTTCAACCCTATTACAGTTGGACGCTACGTTTTCCTCTTTTAATTACATCTGACGGACTAAGTGGGAGACTCTATGATGGACAGTTCTTAAAACCCTTTGGGACTGAATTGTCTTAATGTTCGTCTTCTGTCCTGCTTCGTCGGGCCCTTGTAGGTGATTTTCTTGTTGCTCTACCTTCCTTTAAGTCATCGAGTACTTTGGTAATGGTCATTGGGCTGTACCGTTCTCTACATTTTTACAGAATTTTGTATGTGTTTTATTTATTTCGTCTAATGTAACCATGACCATTGTTAGAATTTCACTTGGCGGGGATTAATTTATTTACACTTTCATGTCATTCAGGAACATATTGGGGCTAAGAGGGAGGTTTGGAGGGCCTAAAGCCGACTTAAACTCCCCAGTGGTTTAACTACCACTGACCGTTCCAAGGCGGTACCACTCTGTGTTCCTTCACGTGTTTTCCATGTCTGTGTTGTTACTTGTTTTTGAATGTGTGTTACTTGTTTTTGAATGTTTATATGTTTGTGATGTCTGCCTTGTTGGATTGTCGTTTACGGTAGGTATTTTCTCACACCCCCTCCCGTTTTTTACCCCCCTCCCCTTTTCACCATTACAGCCCTTATCCCTTTAATTTCCATATGGGCCCGTTTTAGTTTATATTATTTCACACATTACATGTCCCTCTCCTTTCACCGCCCTTATGTCCACTCCAGGTTTTGATTTGGTGCCTTCTGGGTGCCCTACTTTGGTGTGTCGGGGGCTGCGTCCTGTGAACGTTGCCTTTGCCTTGTTGATCATTATGATCTTTATTCTTGTCTTGAATAATAAGCAACCGAGTTTTATTACACAATGGCTAGTTCATGTCATATCATTGGTTTAATGTATCCATCTACGTTTGAAGTTGTCACATTACGAATGCAAAAGTGTACTTATATGGACATTTAGATATTGTATCATGTATATATATATGAAGTAATTGATTCTTCAAATAAAGAACTTCAATATTTTAAGAACGTAAATTCAATATTATAAAACATATAAATATATGACGAATATTTCTTTTAAAAGTAGAACAGAACGCCAAAAACATGCAATAATTCAACACCATGAGTATTCCATGTACAATATTTAATCACTCTTTTAGATTACAGATATAAATTACTTTGAATTTAACAAAAATAAGTATTTTCTTGACATCAAGGTGGTTGACGGTTGGCTCTTACTATCTGAAACTCTTACTATTGTACTAGTATCTAAATTTATTCCAGTCAAACAATGGAATAATAAATCATTAGAATAAGTGAAGCAAAGAACAAAGTTTTGCACGCATGTATAAAATGATACCCACAGTTTTATATACATTCCACTTTAAACAAAAACACTAAGTGTCGATTTTGGAAAGAAATGTAAAACCATGATATCTGTTAAAAGACAAGCCATTTCAGTAATGCCTCGTATAACTCTACATGCATCCAGCATTCTATTTATGTAAACTTAGTGCCTTTGTAAAGTAATTTAGATGTTAATTTTAGAAAGACTGATATAATGAAGAAAATATGTATATATATTAAGATCAATACTAAATCATGTACAAGGTTTACTCACAAATATACTAGATTAACATCGTTTTGGTTATTTATGTGTGCTCGCGGGTGCGTGCGTGTGTGTTTTTGCAAAATTTACAGAGAAAAAATCCTTAAAACGCGTTTGGTAAAAGTAAAATCTCATTAACTATACTTTCATAGAAAATATTTACACTTAAAGTGACATCGTCAATCACTTTAAAACAAATTCTTAAAGGCACATGCAAAAACAAATATGATTTTTTAAAATGTTTAATAATAGTTTTATTTTTGATGTTGCCTACCTGTTTAATAATTATTATAATAATAATAAAATTAATAATAATAATAATAATAGTAATTTCCAACAGAAGAAAGAGATGGATCAGGTAATTAGCAAATGGTTTACTTTTTGGAAACTTTAGAAGTACACCAAAAATTAAAAAAAAATCTTTTGAGAATAAGACAATAAAGCATTTATCGGACATAATTTTTTAACTTCAAAAATAAATATGCAAAACGTTCAAATGAAACATATAAAAATATCAGTATCTCATGTGATATGGACGTGAAACATTTTAATGAAAAACAGTTTTATTTTCTTCAACAATGAAAAGAAGAGAACTTTATTTGTTGTTTCTCCCTTGTTTCACCCAGCGTTAAACAACAACAATACTTTCATCATCTATAGCTCTGTACTTCTTAAATCTGAAAAGAAAAACTAGAACAGAAAAACTAGTAAATGAATTTCAAAATAAAAAGCTAAAAGGATATTTGAACACGTGTTTTGTACATCTCAAGTTGCACTTTTGTTCAAAGGCAAAAAAAAAATATTACTTTACCATAAGATTGAAATAAAGCTATACGCATTGTTTCGTATATAAACGCGTATATAAACGATCTAAAAAAAGTAATATTGAAATTACCACTGTAAACCCTGTCTGCATCCCTTTGGTCGCTAAGACTCTCGTAGTTACTAGCATCATTATCTTGATCTCTTGTAACAGCTTCATTATCAGTTATTATGTTGTTATATATGTGAATATTTGCATTTTGACTTTCATTTTGCGATTGTTGTCTTGATGGGTTTCTGTTATTAAATCAAAGTTTGTGTTACTTTAATAGCATGCGGTCGTGTGACTTGCAATCTTTACAATTTACTAAAATCATAGATCAACATAGTTATATACACTGCTTTTTTCTCTAAAAAAGAAAGTTTACTGTATAATAAATTCGTTACATAGATTCTTCATAGGTTATATATAGGTATATAAATTGCTGTTTGAAATATACATTATATTATATAAACAAACGGTTATATAGCTCCACATTACCAGCCGAAAAAATCTTTATAACTAAAATTAACTCACCTTGCTCAGTGATGATCGCAGTAAATTAAATTCATTTCTGGGATTTTTTCACATGTTTTGAAGATTACTTTCATAACAAATACTATATACATCATCGTCATCATCATTATTATTTATTTATTTATTTTGTTTGTTTAAGGTGTATCATAATTTGGAAAATACCATTTGGATAACCAAATACAAATCTTGTTAATTTTTACAGCACACATTATTACATAACAAACTTCTGTTTTCAACTTCTGCTTTTGTATTTTTCTATACATTTTGCTAAATATTTATTACTTAAAGAATACTTTGTGAAATTAGAAGAAAACATTTAGAGTAATACTGTGGTAATAGGTTATGTTGTAAGATAAACAAACCGTTGTCGAAGTCTGTTTCTTTCCTGACTCGGCTGATCTGTTGAAAAAGAAAAAGTTTTTGAACTGATAAATATACAGTTTATACTTTTCTACAATGTATTTCATGGCAGGATTAAAGCAAACAGAACAAAGCAGACTGAGAATTCCTTTAAATCAATAACAATATAACGCTTAGATAAATAGTAGTGCATTTATTTGTTATAAAATTGTTATAAACTAAACGTATGGTTCAGATGAAGGTCTATAAATACTTTATTCGTCATTACCCGCGGTAGTTGGGTTTGTAAACAAAAATGCAAAACCTAGGCTTAACCGAACATACAAGTTAAGTCACTAGCAGTAACATCTAACAAATGTATGCTAAATGACTCAAGAAAACAACAAAATATCGTCAATTAAACCATATTTAATTGACGGCTTCTTTTAAAATATTACGTCATCATTGATCTCGAGGTAAATGATGCTACACCTTCGATTTTTTATGATTATGGTTTAAACCTTTTAATGTTATTTAAGAAAGATCAAAATATATTACCCTTTTTACTCAACAATATTATTTCTACGAGAAAGCACAATTAGAAACTGATGATTGTTTAAGATTAACATTCATTTAAATGTTCTTTTTTCAGAAAAGAATAAAATGCTGTTGGAATAGGGCATTTAAGGATTTTACATATTTTTATAAGAACTTCATATGTAAGATCTATTGAAACTATAGGACATCTATGACCAACGATAACACCGGAAATATGGCTTTCCAATCGGAACACCTCTTGCGACTTCAAGAATTCCAAAAATATGTAACATTCTTGATGTTTTGCCGGAAAGAAATTTTGTAATTATTTGTAGTTATACTTTTAAATGTTTTAATGTCAGAAATGATAAAAATACGAGGAGAAGAAGAAGAAGATTATACATTTTTTTAAATCAATGATAATTCATTTCCATTCATTATTGTTATCGCATTAAACATGACATATATATACATAGTATATCATTTGTATAGGGCTTACATTGTTACAATAAGGGTGCATACAAACTTCTATAGGAATGATGAATTCAACCTATAAATGACTCAGTTTAAAAATCTATACTGTTTTTAACATAGCTCGCGCGGTAATTATGCTTGTTAACAAAAGTGCAAAAACTAAACTAAATTGTCCATAAAATAATGTAATCAGCTGCGTATCTAACAAATTTCGTCAATATGTTACAAGAAAGCAACAAAATATTAAATAAAAAGCTTTAAACATAATGCCATCAATGATCTCGTGGTAAAAGTTCCAACACCCTCGATTTCCATGTTTATGTTACAAAGATTTTACTGTTCTATAAAATAATAAAAATATATTTACTTTTTTCACACAACAATATTATTACGAGGAAGAAAAACTAGAAACTGATGATTCTTTCAGACTCACATAATTCAATTTGTCTATTTCTTCAAAAATGAGTAAGTGTTTTTTTCTTCTTTTTTTTCTTTTCTTTTCTTTTCAATGGGACCTTCAATGATGTAGCATATTTTGGATGAGAACTTTGTATAAAAGTGGTCAATTTCGACCAAAGAAAACTCCATATGAACATTCACCATTACCGTGAGATCAGAGGTGGCGTTAGCTTATTAATGTTGAATATATATGATTGATAGATCAGAAAAGAAACCTTTTGCTGTAGATTTTTAACAATTTACTAACATGTATGATATTTTCACAAGGGAAACATTTATGATTTATTATAAATTAAAATTTAATGGTGGATATATTTTGTAGTAGTAAGTCAGTATTTCAAAAAATAGCATAGGTACAGTCAACCGTCGTAAAAGGTTTATCAGACTATAAAAGTATACTATTGTTGCAACAACTAATTCTAGATTACCTTGATCATTGTTTCGTTTGTTTCTGATGACAAAAACCATTACAGCAACTATTACAACAAGCGCTGAACATATTCCGACGATGATTCCAATAAATGTGACATTTCCGATGTTGAACATGTGTCTTTGTTTCCCTGGTACAAATAGATTAATCAACATTAAATGAGTAAATTGAGAAATAGCAATTCTTCCCTATTGCTCCAATTGGTTTTATCGACAGGGACCGAAGTTTTACAAATATTTTAGGTGCTCATATTTATATCAGCGAAATTCTAATAACATACTGATCGAGTTATATTGCAATGACATACTGACATACTTATAATTCAAAGACAAACTAAACGTCGTATTATTTAATGACATACTGAACGTAGTTTAATTCAATGACATACAGAGCGTCGCATAATTCAATGACAAACTGAACGTAGCATAATTCAATGACATACTGAACGTAGTCTTATTCAATGACAAATTGAAGGTAGTATAATTCAATGAAATACGGAACGTAGTATAATTCAATGACATACTGAACGTCGTATAATTCAATGACACACTGAAAATCATTTAAATCAATGACATACTGAACGTCATATAATTCAATGACATACTGAACGTCATATAATTCAATGGCATACTGGACGTCATAATTATTATAATTCAATGACATACTGGACGTCATATAATTCCATGATATACTGAACGTCATATAATTCAATGACATACTGAACGTAGTGTTATTCAATGACACACTGAACGTAGTATAATTCAATGACATCTGAACGTAGTATAATTCAATGATATACTGAACGTCATATAATTCAATGACATACTGATTGTCGAAAAAAAGGCATATTGATCGATATGCTGATCGAAGTATACTTAATTTTGTAAGAACGTAAGGAAAAATAATGCGTTAGAAATATTACTATCTAAAGGAAATTAAAATATCTGATGCCTAATGCAGAACCTCCTTTCTTGAAGAGTATTCATTTTAACATTTTCAGTACGGAAACATATTTTTATGGCCTTGGTTTAAACCAAACTGGGTGCAAACGTTTTTAAACACTTCTGTTTAATTCTTTTTGTCTGGTCCAATTGTGGCTTTCCGTTTTATTTTTCGATATATAATTTAAACATTGACAGCTATCTACAACTTTTACATACTTTTTATGTAAAATAAGTTAGAAATAGGTAGATTGACAACATGAAATGATCATAATTTGAAAACCGTTTAGTTATTTGCCTTATGTTTAGAAATTTATTAAGATAGCTTTTATTGAGGAAAAGCAATGACCATGAAATACCACAAATCTAGCCGGTATTTATTTTTGTCAAGATTAAGACATACAAAGTAATGTCAAAATTTTGGCCTACCTGTTTTAATTCACACAATGTTTTTTCCAAATTACTTTTCTTTGCTTTCTACTATTATTTTAAAACTATGGTAGTTTCTTACCCTACCCTCTTTGTGGTAAGATAAAGATGAAATAAGTAAATTTTCTCTTTATAATAATGTTTACTTAAATCGTTACATTTTTTCTAGCTCAATAAAATTATTATGTATTATCAGGACCTATACAACTTCTTCAATTATTCTCAATTAAGAATGAAAACATAACATAGGATAATGTTTTATAAAGGAATTTCTTTTTTAGCAACATCTAAATATCTATATTTGAATTTGGTAATACGAGTTGTACATAAATAGTGTATTTGTATCCTTATGTAAGCTGAAAAGAAAGAAAAGGTCATACAAGATCTTGCTTACTAGATTTGTAGATGTTAACAATCAAAGTTTTATTGTCGCTCAGTTGCAAATAGCGTATCTCACACACAAAGTATTGTTTAGAGACGACATCTGCATTTACGTCTAAAACACATTCCTGTCCATAATCACATTGTTTCTTTATTTTGTCTTCTTTATCGGTCTTCTCAATCCAGGATATATTAGAGGCGGGATAGCTGTCAGCTGTACATTTAACATGTGCTCGTTCTCCTTTGGTAATATCTAACATTGCTCCAGAAATGTTGAACTTTATATCGGGTCGATCTGAAAATTACATTAAATAAAACATTGTTATTTATATTAATATCCATATTAATTAAATAAAGCAATAAGAAGTTATTAGATACAACTAACATTGTTTTCTTCTTTTTCGTGCATGCGTGCGTGACTCTTTGTGTACGTGTATGTGTGTGTATGTACGTGTGCCTGTGTGCGTGTGTATGTATGTATGTGTGGTATATCAGAGGCGAAACTGCTATCAAATTTAACATGCATCGGATTTCCGTCAGAAATATCTAAAGCTGCGCGCCTTCAAACGAGCCAAAATCTTTCAAGAAATTCAATCTTTAGAAAAATGTATTAAGATCTTAAAAAAAGGAAAAAGGTTCAATATTTGATTTATTATTTACATGTTATGTGCGATTTATAACTGATCTTGCAGTATCAATCACTATAATTCAACTGCGTTACTAACGCAGTAAGATGTATTTATGTTTATAACATGCTTTTCGGTGGTTTATAGAAATATATCAGAGATTTAAAAAGTGGTAATTTCACTGTTTGAAACAGTGAAATTACCACTTTGATAATTTCACTGTTTTGAATTTAAGCCCCTTACGTTTTTTCAGTGAAATACCAGCGTGCACAGTATTGGGTACCAACTTCATGACGTGACGTCGTAAAAGACGTCACGTTGTATTATTATTTGGCGCGCTTTTCATTAAGTATTAGGTTTAATGTCTTTTTAAAACTTTTCTTTGCATATAATAAAAAGAAAATTTGTTTAGTTTAGAGCAAGATCGAAATATATTTCACCTTGTGAACACCAAAAGTTCATATTTCACTCGTGGCTGCGCCACTCGTGAAATATACCTTTTGGTGCTCACTCGGTGAAATATATTCCGATCTTACACTGAACTAAACAAATATCCTCTATATATTTTGACCTCTGTTTTGGTAATTAACGTGGATTGTAAGTGCCGTTTGCAATGTGTAAATTACTGTCTTTGTTCACTTCACAATAATTTACCTTTTAATACATTTTCGAACTTTTCATGAAAATTAGCTTGACTCTGGAGGCACGCTGCTTAAATATCAATCAACATACATTGCAGTCTTTATTTCATTGATCAGTAGGTAGACAAGGAATGGTTCTCAATGTGGCAAAAGCAGTTACATAGAAAATTGCAAAAATACGTAAATGCTCAGAAAGATAAAGATACATTTATGTTGTGATAATAAAGGTTTGTATGTTACACGCACGCCGTTCGTCTCATTAAATATTATGTGAAAATGGGCTTGTCAGTCTTTATTTGATTGGCACTAAATGTCTGTCTGTCATAAAAATACAAATACGAAATATGAAGTGTAAATCAATTGCTATTTGAATAAAAAAAACTTAATATATGACATCTATAAATTTGAAAAAAGAATTTTTTCTTGATAAATGGCTTGTACAGTATGTGATATATTAGAAATTTTATTAATCATTTTATATTGACATCTAACCTATGTAATTGGATAGTGTTTATGTAAATATGCATGTATATGATCTCGCATAACGTCATAAATAAAATTTGTTGAAGCATAAAGAAATAACAATAAAATCATTCACATAAGTAAGAATCGGAAGTACAACACGTAACTACGTAATATCAAGAAAAAAAACAACAAACGTAATGGTTATATTACATGGAAAACAGCCACTGTCATGTGATAATATACATGTATCATTACAGCTACATTTGAAAGAAAATAATATATTTTTTCAATATAAAACTATGTAAGTGGTCATCTAGTAAAAAAGTTATATTGACTATTTGGTATTAGCTTACATGGAAGTTGAATTGTTTTTGAGTCTCTAAGTACCCGGTCCTTGAAGTCTGCGCATTCGGCAGCACATGTAACATCTGTACCATTGTCTTCTTTACTGACATTCAAATTAACGACATACTCTATCATCCACAAACCATGCAGGAGACTCATGTTCCTTGAGATCGTTTCTGAACCGATGATTTCGTTGGTTGCCGTGAAATTAACCATGCAGGAGGAATTCGAATTGTCCAGTGTACATACAGCGTACATACGAAGAGGTTCTGCCGAGTCAGTTATGATTTCAAGTTTGATGTCAGGTGACGGAACTGAAATAAATAATGTTAGACATATACCATAAATTGATTGTTCGTGTAAGTCAATTTAATTGTCATCCCTTTTTCTGTCTGAACTTTTTGTAAATGATTAAAAAACTTACGGTTCTCTTAAATACTTAATTGAGCATGAAAATACTAAAACACAATGTTTACTTGTTTCGGTTCAGAACAATTCCTAGGTGTATTGTACTATTAATAATAACTTAAACAAAATATTTATCTCTGTTCCATTCTCGTTTAAATTTTGTCAAGGCAATAATGCTACTGTATAACGATATGTATTTGATATAGTGAGTTTCAATTTTAGAATAAGTGGTTCTTCCACGTCACAGCAGTGCGATTGTTATGCCCCCACAAAGTGGGAGCATATACCGTTGCACTTGTCCGTCCGTCCGTCCGTCCGTCTGTCCGTCCGGGCGAACATTCTATGGTCTATGAGCTTCATTCCGTCCATAATTTTGGTTAAAAAAAAGAAAGAAATCCCATAAACCGACTGTTTTATGTGGTAATTTTACTGGTTTTTGGGGGGAAATGTCGCATAAAGATCAAAGAAAAAGCACATAAACCCCAATTGTTGGCATGTCCGTCCGTACGTCTGTCCGCACTCACAGGACAGTAATTATGTGGCTAGAGGGACAATAGGTAACTGTTCTTTCTCTTTGATGTCATTCATTCCGTAATGCTTTTATGTGGCTTTTTTCTTTTGTGTGGCTAAAAAGAACAATAGAGAGAACAATGGAGTAGCCACATAATTACTCTCCTGTTAGAACAACCGTCCGTCCGTCTGTCCGTTCGTCCCGAAATATTGTGAACGCAACTCCTCTTAAACCGGATGGCAGATTTTGCTTAAACTTCCAGGGATGAACAACCTTAATGTGTAGATGGTAGTAAAGGAAGGAATTTGCGCTGCCACCAAATTTAACAGAATTATGTCCCTTTGTTGATTTTTTCACTATAAACCATATAGAAATTTTGTGAACGCAACTCCTCTTAAACCGGATGGCAGATTTTGCTTAAACGTCCAGGGATGAACAACCTTAATGTGTAGATGTTAGTAAAGGAAGGAATTTTTGCTGCGATCAAATTTAACAGAATTATGTCCCTTTGTTGATTTTTTCACTATATACCATATATATGTTGTCAGTGGGGGCATCCGTGTCCTTTGGACACAGTTCTAGTTTAAGTGAGTTTACAGTTACAATTGTGATCTAGAACTTTTTCTTAGAAGATATACTTTTCTCATTTCATATCAGTTTTATAATAAAAAAAATTTAAAATGAGATAAGGATTTGTTATCTAAAATGGTTCTGGCTATGTTTTGTAAATCTTTGAAAAAATGTCAGTTTTATATAAAATATAAAGGGGAATACTTTTTAGCGGTATATGGTCTCGAAGGCTTTTCTTGTCTCGCGTCGACGTACAAGCTGCGAAACGAGACTCGAGATTCCGGCGAGATGCGAAACGAGTCACGATATTGTCTAAATATCGACAGATTACGGTGTTCCGTTTGGACATAAGTAACATTTTATGTCTTCCTGAACCGCACTGCACGATGGTTCACTGATAAAAGAAAAATGGTACGATGGTAAAATAATGAAACAAAGATGACTAAATAGTAAAATCACGATGATGCGATGACACGATGGTGAAAACAATATCGTGTTTTTATCATCATGCCATTGCAGTTTCATCATCATACCATCGTATTTTCACCATCATAACATCACGTTTTCATCATCGTGCCTTCGTTGTCTCACGATTGTACCATTGTTTCACCATCTTACAATCAGTGTTTCGCGTTCGTACAATCGTGTTTTTATCATCGTACCATCGTGTTTTCATCATCGTACCATCGCTTATTTACCATTGTACCATCGTGAACGGCATTCATTATGTTTCAGTGTACGCCTTCATGTTTAGCCAATCAAATTTCTTGAATTAGAGATATAAGAATTAACAGTTCAACTGTAGGTTTTAGGTTTAAGATGTCATAAACCTATTGATGGTTACACTTGAAATTCTGCAGTGGGAAAATATGTTACAAATAATTCATAAAAAATGACATGAGACAAATGTGCTTTCTTGTCCCTTAAAACACATGAGACAAATGTGCTTTCATATCCCTTAAAAAACTTGATCGGAGCACATTTGTCACACAAATGAGCTTTTTGGGGTAGACATTTGAGGTCCCATTTGTCTTATGTGCTCCTTTAAGGGTATCTCATTTGTCATATGCAACCAATGAACGAGCATCTGAATGTAATATTTCTATCGCTTTACCTTTCTCTGTCGTCACAAGTAAACCTCAGAAAAAAGAGCCAATCAATGGGCATGCTATAAAGTGTTGGTAACTAATACAAGCTTAAAGTGTTGGTTAACACAATTATTCTCTGACACATTTTAAGCAGAAATGTCCCCAAACTATGATACAATTTACATATATCCCATCGATAATCTAATTTTCCAAATAAAGAAGAAACATACACATCGTTATAAAACAGAGAAACACAGAATCCATAAATAACGCTCAACATAGAAAATTTGAAACTATTGCTGACTTGGACTGACTTATGTTCATGAAAAGTGTTGGTAATTGTATGTAACGGACCACGCCTGCTAGCACCAGCTTAAGCACAATTCAACATTTAACTTTTTAAACAGATCAAACATGTTGTAATACAAGCCGTATTGTTTTGAAAAAAATACTTATACACCAATCAGTATTTATAAAAAAAAATATAAATATAAATATTGCTTTCTTTGCTGATCAAACAAAAAGTAAATTTCAATAATTTTGATAGAATTGAAGGTGCAATCTTATTATTATTTTAGTCAACGAGTCAGTAATGTCCTTACACGATTACATGTATAATATTCTCTTTCTCACATACCCAAAAAAGACT